GGCAGCTCTCAGGCACACCCCAGCTGCTTTTGGCTTCCAGCTTTCTTCTTTCCACAAGGTACATAATTTCATGGACAGTTACTATTTTCAGCAGTGTGTAGATAAGGAGTGGGGAACTGTGGTTGCCTACCAGGTCATTGTTAGGGGTTAGCATAGCAGGGGCTGAGTCTTTTGTCTCTTGTGCCAGGCCCCAGATTTCATGTCCCTTCCCTTTTTCCAAAACTTCTTTATTTTTAATAAGGAAGTCCTCATAGGGTGGCTTGGTGCACTGCAAAGTGCAGTGCCAGTGAGGCCCCAGCCACTTGCCAGCTTAATTTGCTTTCCAGTTAAGGCACAGATTTTATTGATCTGTGGTGCTGGGTAGCATATGTGGACCATTTTGGCTGGTGACAGGAAGCCATCAACAAGACAAAGATTCTCTGCTGGGTGCAGAGGGGTGGAGCCCCACCCTGGGCAGTTAGCAAAAGACAATAGAGTGGGGAGGGAGGAGTTTCAGAATTGCAGTGGGCTCATGTAAGCAAGAGGGAAAATAGTTTTGTTTCGGGGAATGTGGATTGACAGTTTGAACCCAACATAGCAGCCAAGAGAGAAACAGGACCCTTCTAGAATGTAAACTGGAAGTCCCCACACCCAGTCCTTAGCTCAGGTTGTATATATGTGTAAATAAACCATTTACAGGCAACCCCCGTTTTAGGCATGACCAATATGCAGTGCCAAACCCAGAACCAGGGGTGCCAACTTGAATAAAATATTGTGGGGGCCCAGGTAAGCTCTGCCCCATATAATTGGTCACATGACATAGTGCACACACTCCATTTGAATGGGATTGCCCATCAATTTTGTGGGGACCCTGCCCCCTCAACTATGTGGGCCGAAGCCCCCGTGGCCCCTAGGAGGGGGCTCCTATGCCCAGAACTGACCCGGAAGTGTAATAAAAGACTTCACTAAAAGGGCGGGGCAGGGTGAGGCGAAGGCAGAATGGGGTGTTTCAGTTACACGATTTCACGCAAGCATGCATTGACCAGGAACACAAGCCCTGCACAAATCGGGGCTTGCCTATATCATAAAGACCCCATAGTCTACTCTGTGCCTTATTGTCCAACATAGACCCTGGTAAGTAGGCCCGGTACCCCTGGAGTCTCGCACCACTCAAGATTGGGGTGGAGTGCAACAATATGTTTAAACGTTTGTACAAAACATATTGCAATGCTGAAAAGGGTTCAGAAAAGGGCAACCAAGATGATCAAAGGTTTGGAGCAACTTCCCTATGAAGAAAGATTACATTTGGGGCTTTTTAGTTTAAGAAAAAGAGTAAGAGGACATGAAAGGTGTGCATAAAGTTATGCATAGTGTGAGGGGAAAGTGGATAAAGTTTTTTTTTTCCTTTTTAGTCAACTAAAACTGACTAAAGCCTAGTCTCACACCTCTTATTCCTGCAGGATTTCTGACTGCAGTTCTTCAGAATTACGCTCGGCATAAAGAATTGCCAGTGGATTCTCTTCATTTTATCCACAAAGTTCTTCCATTCGTTCAGGATGAAGATCAGAGTCTTAGATTTTTCAGCACAAAAGAAGCTATAATAAATAAAGCATTTAAGGTAAGAAAATAAGAGCACATGTAGCATAATAGTTAATGAGCTTTGAGCTGGATGACTGATCTAAGTCATTGTTATGGCCTTATACAATTAAAAAAAAAAAATACTGAGAAAATGTATGTGATATGTTCTGATCATATTGGGAAGATACTATTGAAGAGTGTCTGGAACACATTTCTGAAACAACATGGAGAAGAAAATCCTATGGGGGAAAGTTGCAGGGGCAGGGTGGGGTGTGAATTCCCTTCAATTCTGCAGTGCCAAAGTATTTTCCTTCTGAAGCACATTTACTTCATTTCCAAAGGAGAAGGAACCACTTTCTGCAAGTCTCAAATGACTTCCTGCCAGGACTCAGTAATTCTACACACACACAAAAATTTGAGCATCAAGAGACACTCAAGTTCAAATTCTGTTGGGCCAGGCTCCTCCTGCCTGTTTAAAAAGTACTAGAACACCTTATGCAGGTGAGGGGGAGGGAGGTGGTAGCCAGCAGGGTGCTATCCTGATGTTGCTGGACTACAACTCCCATTATTTTCTGCCGGCATGGCCAATGGCCAGGGATGGTGAGAACTGTAGTCCTGCAGCACTTTGAGGGCATCACACCGACTACTCTTGAGCTTCAGCCATGCTTAGCATCATATAGGAAGACCAACTTACTGTGTTGCCTATCAGTTAAAATGTAATTTACAGGTTACCACTGAATGTAGATGTGAAGGATGGTGTCGCGGAGGCTGAATAGTGGTTATTCTACCTCTGTAAAGGATTGCTTCACTAATTGCTGAATGCATGAAAAATTGATACATAACAATGCCTTTTCCATTGGGTCGATAGTGATTTTGTTTGACCAACATAGTACAGTCATATCTTGGATCCCGAATGCCTTGCTATTCAAACGTTTTGGCTCCTGAATGCTGCAAACCCAAACTGTCTGTAACCAATCAGAAGCTGCTCTTCAATTTCCAAATGTTTTGGAAATAGAAAGGACTTCCAGAACAGATTCTGTTCAACTTCCGAGGTATGACTGTAGTACTGACCCACCTGCCAATGCTGCCTGTAGGTCAGGTGCCTCTCAGGATAACACCATGACAGCTAGGTCAAGCTCCCTATCTTAAAACATTTATATCATGTTGTTGTTGTTGTTTAGTCGTATCCGACTCTTCATGACTCCATGGACTAGAGCACGCCAGGCACTCCTGTCTTCCGCTGCCTCCCACAGTTTGGTCAAACTCATGTTCGTAGCTTTGAGAACACTGTCCAGCCATCTCGTTCTCTGTCGTCCCCTTCTTCTTGTGCCCTCAGTCTTTCCCAACATCAGGGTCTTTTCCAGAGAGTCTTCTCTTCTCGTGAGGTGGCCAAAGTACTGGAGTCTCAGCTTCAGGATCTGTCCTTCCAGTGAGCACTCAGGGCTGATTTCCTTAAGAATGGATAGGTTTGATCTTCTTGCAGTCTGTGGGACTCTCAAGAGTCTCCTCCAGCACCATAATAGCTGGTCATAAATTTTGAAGGTTTCGTGGAGTCTGGTGGACTAAAAACAAACAAGAAAACCCTATCATATGACATTCATCTATCATTTTTGTTGACTTTCAGGAATCTTCTCGGTGTGAAATTGGAGTTATAGTTTGTGGCTTATACATAGATGGTGCTTGCTGGAATCCCACTACAAAGACATTGGAAGAGCCTGAGCTTCACCAGAGATTTTATCCACTACCAGACATACATTTTCTACCAAAAAAGGTGATTTAAATAAAATGTACATTCTGTGTTATAACAAAAGTTCAGGGTGGCAACAGGTAACGCTAATGATACAAATTTTGCAAGTTGGGAGCAGCTATATAATCTTACATTTATACCTGAAATGATAAAACATTTGATTTCATTGTATCATTTTACTACATTATGCACTCCTTTTCTGACCCACTCCCTTATTCTGACCCCAAGTTTCAACCTGTAAAGTGTTTTTGTCCATGCTGCATGTGCCTGGTGTTTATGGCAGTTGTGGTGCATCTGGCTGGCTGTTCTGAATCTATGACTAATTAACAGTGTGCCGTGCCTGTGCAAACAATTGTCAGGCTACTCGTGTAGAAAAAAGCCCACCCACCGCTCCATCACCAGATGGGTGCTGAAGGTAGAGGCTCATACTAACATCTAGAACTCCTTCCCCCTTAAAAGAGGAGCCAGATACGTAACATTTGCCTATGTTGTGCTGTGATTTCCTGCTTCGCATATTGGTTGCATACACATACTGTATATTGTATGTTTTCCATGCTACTCTTTCATATTGCTCTCATATACAGTATATTTAAAAGATTGGTGTTATGCTAATATGTATTATTAATTCATCAACACTTTTCTTTTGAAGATGGCCTCCCATGCAAGACCCCATTGTCTAGAGGAGGAAGAAGTCTGGCTACTTTATGAATGTCCACTATACAGGACACCTGAAAGATCAGGAACACTGTCCTCTACAGGTATATCAACTAATTTTATAACAGTAGTTAACCTACCAAGTCTTATAGCACCCAGCCACTGGATAACAAGAGGTGTTGCACTGTTATGCCAACTAGATGACTGAGAAAATTAAAAAAATAATTACCCCTTAAACTTTGATACTCTTCAGACTGTTGGACCACTTGAGGTTTTGGTAAACTGATGCTTAAGAATAAACAGTATTTATTGTAGTTTTCATTATGATTTATCTTCTCTTTATTTAATTAAACTTATTTGTGTTTAGTCGGATGTGTGTCAAGCTAGCCATGTGGTAATTTGGACTTCCTCAGCTCCAGCAAGAAACTTCTAGTGCTCACTTACGCAGTATTGTTTCTAATAGTGACCAGCCCAATGCTGCTGAGGGCATTAAAGTGATTGCCACTGTCTTGAATCAGAATTGTACAGTTGGAAGAGACCCTGAGGATCATCTAGTCCAACCCCCTGCAATGCAGGAATATGCAGCTGCCCCATATGGGGATCAAACCTGCAACTTTGGCATTAACAGCACCATGCTCTAACCAACTGAGCCATCCAAATCTGTAGCATGCCTACTGAACAAAAAGTATGAGTCATTTCTCTTGCTTTGCACTTTTTACCTCTGACTCCATTTATCATCATGCAACCATGGAAGTTTGCCCACATGACAAAGCAGCCCTGAGTTTTCCACCTCTGTAGTCTGAGAAGGGCTGAAATGAATATGGGAGATCCTATGTTTGTTTATTTCCTGATTAGGAGTGTGAGCTTTTCAACCTCTTTCTGAGTAGATTGCATGTAATTCACCTGAACTCGGCTAGAACGCTTAAGAACTTAAACTATCCCAGGACACAGATACATCTTCAATCAGAGCTACTTATATATTCAAAGGGCAAACAAAAATGTTAGAAGTCTCTTCCAAGTAAGTAATTACATCTGCACAAAATCATTTCTAGATTAAATTTTAATTATGCAAGTTACTTTTTATGAAGTTCAATCTAAGGAGTACATTTTAGATGTAAAAAGGTGTAACAAACATGACACGTTGCAGTTTATATTAGTCAGGAACCACACTCCTGGGAGAACATGCTCATATAAAAAGATTACTCATTTTCCTTTAGAAGATATTTTAGAATTATCCAAAAATAGTGGTATTTCTACAATTTTCTTTGCATAACAAATTACAATAGATATTTTGAAGCACTCAATGTTTATAAGGATTTTTTCTGCTCTAAACAGATGTTATGCAGGCTAAAGAAAGTTGTCATGATCATTTCTGCCACACAACACACATTCAATTTACAATCTTGTACAGCAGTAACTAAAACGGCTCATACAAATATACAGAGTACAATATGGATCCCCATAGGGCATAAGAGTGCTGTTATCCCCATCACTCAAGGCTATTCATGTTCCAAAGGGGACTGGTTAGACAGGGATATGGGCATTCGTTAAGTAAGCCCTACAGTGATCCACAATCATGCATTTTAACTATATTAAACTGAAAACAATTGTTATCAAGAACTATGCTACAAATTCATAAATGCAAAATATAGTCAAATTAAAAATGGGTAGTTTGCTATTATTAAATGGGTAATTTTTATCAGCTGTAAAAATTTCAACAGACCGGCTTTCTAATTTAATATATTAAAATGGCAATTATTCCTTCCATTTAGGTAAATAATTCCACCTTATAGCCAATTCAGTAAAAAACTATTCAATAAAAATTTATAGATGTTCTGCTACAAACAGCATAAAACCACATAGCATGAGTTGCTATGAAAACTCAAATATACAAAAATACATTTGTTAAAAAGTTCAATTAAAGTGGTTGACTTTAATCATGTTAAAAAGCTGCTTTAAATAGCAATTTGAAAAATTAGCATTTTTCCTACTTTCAACAGTATAAAAAGGCAAAATAACCTACATTTGAGGTAGCAATGCCAATTCACAAAACTTTGAATAAATTTCATATACTTCCATAACACATTTCTCATTGCAATATTTAAATGAGCACTTCAATTGTTCAACTCAATTTCATAGCAATACTTTATAAAACTTTTCAAAAATACTGGAAATGGTTTTAGTAAAAAAAAGATTTGCATCTTATACTCAAAACACTGTACAACAAAATCTTTCAATGTTACAATATAAAGAAAAGCTATAGTACAAAGCAATGGTTTATAATAGCTGAAAAAACTGCCTATTTTTTCACAGTCTGTACAACATGCCACACCCTGTATCATTGTTTTTTGTCACTTGCACTTCTTGAGGTCTGACACTCTCAAAGAATGAGCTGTAAGGGATTTTAAAATATTCTCTTAAATCAACGTACTTTTTAGAGCACATAGTATAAGGAATACTATTATGTAAAAACTTCAAGAGGCATATGACAACCATCGCTCAGACTTAAAATGGGATTTTGTTCTCTAGAGGGAAGGGGTAGAGAAGCAACCCCCTGTGTATTTGCTTCCCCAGAAGCAATTCCTGCTTCTGCAACAGCCACTAGGGATTCAGCCTGAGAGAACCAGTTATAAGAGACAGACCTGAGTGAGAACTACTATGATTAGAAAGCTGTAGCATCGGAAGTTGCTCTTCATTGGACTTTGTAATGTTTACTATTTTCTGGTGCATTTTGGCCAAGGGCTCTGAAGGTAGCCCAAAGAATGAAAAATACAAAAGTTACACAAAACAAGCAAATCTTCAGCATTAAACCCTAAAATGGTTTTTCCTATGTCCGGAACAGATAATTAACATTATCCAGCATATACATTGCTTGACAGGCTTTTAATGTGCTATACAACTAATTTATTGCTTAACTGAAGTGTGTAATTTGAAATGGGGAGATGGCTAAAAATATATGGAAAAGACTATTTTTAGTAGTTTATTGGTAAAGGTATCTGTAGCTTTACTATCTGATCACAATTTTTAAGAAAATCTAGCAGAATTAACGTATACCAAGTGCAATGGTATGAGGTATGTGGTTTATTGCAATGAAGATTTGACTGCAGAAGCTGTGCATTATCCACCAGTTTGAAGACACTCAGTAGATATATGGAAATATGCGATACGGTACACGTTGACAGTATTTTTCCCATGCTAAGCCATATTTTTTCTTACACTGACGTTCATCACGGGCTTCTCGATGAATAAGCAAACCAGTAAAGTATATGACATAGAAATATGGTAAGATGTGGTTGATCCCTGTAAGAACACATAAACAGTTATTTTTTCCACTCTTCATCTGGAAAGGTAAATAAGGGTTTTTTTGTTCATCACTTTAACATAAATAATTAATGACTGGGTTTTAATATTCTTGATTAGATTTCAAGCTTGAACATTATATTTGTGAGTGCAAGCCATAATTTATTTTCTCTGTTTTCTATGCTGATAAGGGGGGGGGGGGACTTACTGTCAAAAAGATAAACAGAACAATATACTTATGGTGTATTATCCCTCCTAGCTGTCATCTTACGGCAATTTTCAATTAGATCAGGGGTGGGGAACATGTATTTATCCACATGCTATTGGACTCCCATCAGTCGCAAAAAGCATGATGTATAGTCAAGGATGATGAAAGTTGTAGTTCAGCAATATATGGAGGGCCAGATTCCTCACCCATTTTGATCCCATGATCTGTAAAAATGAATTTCTCCCCTAAACATTATGAGGTATTAAGAAGTCTAATATCTTAGTTAATGACAACAATAGAGGTCAGAGGCAAAAACACAAATTAAACAATGGGATTGCACACACTCTCACAGAGACAAAATCACAAGGCCAATGTCCAAGCTGAATAGCTCCACCCTGAATGAATGGTTTAAGTGAGGGCAGGAAGCAGCCTTGAAGTCAACTCTTGTTTTCTGCCTTGGACAACAGGTGGTGAAGTATCACCCACATGGTGGCCTGCCACCCATGAAAAAAATGCAAGATTTCACTAGAAGACACTTACCACACGGTAAAGACCAAGCCAGAGCCATGATGATATCTCCAAGGTAGTTTGGATGGCGCACCAAGCCCCACCAGCCAGAGACCAGGAGGTTTTTTCCAGTTGCTGTGGGAATAACTTTCAAGTCTGTATGGTGATATACAAATAGATATTATTTGTACTATGCAGACGAGAACACACTGTGTAATATTAATATATAGAAAGCACTGATAGAAAACCAATTTGCCTAAGCAGTACTTACGAGCGACCTTTGGGTCCTTTGGATTTCTTCGAAATATGTTTTTCTGTGAATTTGCACCACGAAAAATGTAATAGCCAAGAACTTCAGAAAAGAAAGAATAAGCAACTATTATTTCCTTGCAGAACTTGCCAACAGCACACAGTCCATCGTCTTTCCAATTTTACATTAATAACAATGACAAGAGCAATGTTCTTAGGCATCTATTTATTGTCCAGTTTTCTAATCATGAGTACAATTGATGTGGATATTACAGTGGTGCCTCGCAAGACGAAAAGAATCTGTTCCGCGAGTCTCTTCGTCTTGCGGTTTTTTCGTCTTGCGAAGCAAGCCCATTAACGGTTTAGGGGATTAGCGCTATTAGCGGCTTAGTGGATCAGCTGATAAGCGGCTTAGTGGCTTAACGGATCAGCTGATAAGCGGCTTAGTGGCTTAACGGATCAGCTGTTAAGCGGCTTAGCGGATCAGCTGATAAGCGGCTTAGCAGCTTGGGAAAAAGGGAGGGAAAAGGAAAAAAACCCCGCAGGAACTCGCAAGACATTTTCGTCTTGCGAAGCAAGCCCATAGGAAATTCGTTTTGCGAAGCACCTCCAAAACGGAAAACCCTTTCGTCTAGCGGGTTTTCCGTCTTGCGAGGCATTCGTCTTGCGGGGCACCACTGTACAAATTTACTTGCTTACTCTGAGGCTGCCTCAGTTCTGGAGAACTCCTGGCCAGCCCGAGGACCTTTTGCCTGCAAGAAACAGCTGCACAAGGCTTTGGGAGGCAGACACAAGAGGGCATCAAAGAAGGTTGCCCATGGTACGCCTGACCATCATTCAAGGCACCCCATGGTGCCACAGCACACGTTGAAAGCCACTGCTATACAACATTAAATAGAGATAGAGAATTATTTGTAGTTTTTATAGCTACTCTACCTTGAAGAAATGCTATTGAACAATGACACTCAAAGGGTCTGATGGCAAACACCCTCTCTAAAAATTACTTGATTTACTAACTGAATTGTTGACATCAGTTTGGGTCAGGAAAGGGCTTTCTCAACTGACCATGAAATATTATTCCTTCAGGAGACCTGAAGGTTAATTGTGCTGGCTGATAAGAGAGATGGGAGGCCAGTAAATCTACCTGTGTGTCTCTACCTAGGAGCCTTGCGAACTTTGAGGCCCACAAGAGAAAAACCAGCTGTAACTTGCTGCACCTCCTTCTTTTCTTTTCTTTTCTTTTCTTTTTTTTAAATAATTTTTATTAAAGTTTTAAACAAAGAAAAAAGAAAAAACAACACACACAAAAAAAAATACAAAATTTAACAATAGAAACACAAAACATAACAATTAAAAACAAACTCTCTTTTCCATTCCCAATTTTAAATTACTTATTTTCTGGACTTCCTCATACCTCCCTCTTTTGTATTCCAATCTACATTATTTGTCCAGCAGTTTCTTTTCCACTTTTTTAAACCCAATCTTTAATTTAATAAAATATTAAAATATATAGCTTCAACTTTTTTAAACATAATCCTTGTTCTTAATGTCATATACCTTTAAATTTTTCCCTTTTATTATCAAATTTCCATTTCTTTAAACATCTTTAATCTTGATCTTTAATCTTAATCTATCCTTAACTTTAACCTGTACAGCTGGAAACCACTTATTTTCAATCCAACATCACTCTAACATTCCTTAATTTTGCAGTGTTTCTGAAGATAGTCTTTGAATTTCTTCCAGTCTTCCTCCATCGACTCTTCTCCCTGGTCACGGATTCTGCCAGTCATTTCCGCCAATTCCATATAGTCCATAAGTTTCATCTGCCATTCCTCCAGCGTGGGAAGTTCTTGTGTCTTCCAATACTTTGCGATGAGTATTCTTGCTGCTGTTGTTGCATACATAAAGAAAGTTCTATCCTTTTTAACACCATTTGGCCCACTATGCCCAGGAGAAAGGCCTCTGGTTTCTTGGGGAAGGTATACTTAAATACCTTTTTAATTCATTATATATCATTTCCCAGAAAGCCTTAATCTTTGGGCACGTCCACCAAAGGTGAAAAAATGTACCTTCAGTTTCTTTACATTTCCAACATTTGTTATCGGGCAAGTGATAGATTTTCGCAAGCTTGACTGGGGTTATGTACCACCTGTATATCATTTTCATAATATTCTCTCTTAAGGCATTACATGCCGTAAATTTCATACCAGTGGTCCATAACTGTTCCCAGTCAGCAAACATAATGTTATGTCCTACGTCCTGTGCCCATTTAATCATAGCCGATTTTACCGTTTCATCTTGAGTATTCCATTTCAGCAGCAAGTTATACATTCTTGACAGATTCTTAGTATTGGGTTCTAACAATTCTGTTTCTAATTTTGATTTTTCCACCTGGAAGCCAATTTTCCTGTCTAATTTAAATGCCTCCATTATTTGATAATAATGAAGCCAGTCTCGCACTTTGTTTTTTAGTTTTTCAAAACTCTGCAATTTCAGTCTATCTCCGTCTTGTTCCAAAATTTCCCAATATTTCGGCCATTTGACCTCCATATTGACCCTTTTCAAGGCTTTCGCTTCCATTGGTGACAGCCACCTTGGGGTTTTATTTTCTAGCAAATCCTTATATCTTATCCAAACATTAAATAGCGCTTTCCTGACAATGTGGTTTTTAAATGCTTTGTGTGCTTTGACCTTATCATACCATAAATATGCATGCCATCCAAATACATTATTGAAACCTTCCAAATCCAAAATGTCAGTGTTTTCAAGAAGTAGCCATTCTTTCAACCAGCAAAAAGCTGCTGATTCATAATAAAGTTTGAGGTCTGGCAGGGCAAATCCACCTCTTTCCTTTGCATCTGTTAGTATTTTAAATTTTATTCTAGGTTTCTTGCCCTGCCAGACAAATTTAGAAATATCTTTCTGCCACCTCTTGAAACAGTCCATTTTGTCCACAATCTGCAAAGTTTGAAACAAAAACAACATTCTAGGCAATACATTCATTTTTATCGCAGCAATACGGCCTAGCAGTGAAAGCTTCAAGTTTGACCAAATTTCTAAATCTTTTCACTTCTGACCAACATTTTTCATAATTATCTTTAAATAAATTCCCATTTTTTGCTGTCATGTTAATCCCCAGGTATTTAACTTTCTTAACCACTGTTAACCCTGTCTCATTCTGAAACCTCTCTCTTTCAAACGGTGTTAATTTTTCTCTAAACCTTGGTTTTTGATTTGTTCAATTTAAATCCTGCCACTTGACCAAATTCTTGAATCAGTTCTAAAACCCTTTTTGTACTAGATTCTGGCTCCTGTAACGTCAATACTAAGTCATCTGCAAATGCTCTCAATTTATAGTGTTTAGTTCCGACCTGTATACCTTTAACCAACTGGTCCCTTCTAATCATGTTCAGCAACACCTCCAGGACCGAAATAAAAGAAGAGGGGAAATTGGGCAACCTTGTCGTGTCCCTTTTTCAATTTTAAGTTCTTCCGTCACAACGTTATTTACAATTAATTTAGCCTTTTGTTCTGAATAAATTGCACTTATACCATTCTCAAAACCTTGGCCTACCCCCATACCCTGAAGATTCTTCTTCATAAAATTCCAAGAAATATTGTCAAAGGCTTTCTCCGCGTCTACAAATATCAACACTGCTTTAGTGTTTATATTCACTTCTAATTTTTCCAAAATATCAATTATATTCCTCAGATTATCAGACAAGTGTCTTCCTGGGAGAAAGCCCGCTTGGTCTTTATGAATCTCTTCCAACAGCACTTTTTAAATCTCTTCGCCAAAATATCTGCAAAAATTTTGTAATCCACATTAAGTAATGATATTGGGCGGTAGTTCTTTAGTTGTGTCTTTTCAGCCTCTGTTTTTGGTACAAGTGTAATATATGCTTCTTTCCACGACTCTGGTGCCCTCCTCCCCTCCATTATTTCGTTGCAGACCTCTTTCAATGGTTGAATTAACCAATCTTTTAAGGATCTGTAGTATCTAGAGGTCAAGCCGTCTGGGCCTGGAGATTTACCCAGTTGCATATTTTGAATGGCACCTTCTATTTCCTGTTCCGTTATTCTGTCATTCAAAATTAGTCTCTTTTCTTGAGATATTTTTGTAATCCATTTGTTTTCAAAAATTGATCTAAGTCTGTTTCTTTCACGGGCCCTTGAGTGTATAGTCTTTTAAAATACTTCTGGAAACAACTTCTAATCTCTGCAGGGTTCTGTATATTCCTTCCATCCACTTCTAAATTCGTAATCGTATTTAATTTTTGTCTCTTTTTCATTTGCCATGCCAACAGTTTACCACATTTATTGGCCGATTCAAAAGTCTTTTGTCTCATTTGTTTAATTTTCCATTCTATTTCCTGATTCATTATTTTCATATATTGTACTTGATATAACTTTAACTCTCTCAGAGTCTCTTGAGATTTGGGATTTACTCGCAATCTTTTTTCACATTCATTCATTTTGTTCATAATTTTATCCTTCTTCTCATTTTGAGTTCTTTTCTTTATCGCATTCTGTTGTATTAAGAACCCTCTCATAACAGCTTTACTTGCATCCCAGATTACTCTTTTCTCCACGTTGGAACTAAGATTTATCTCAAAGTAGTCTCTTAAAGTTTTTTGGGCCTTCTTAAGAAATTCTTCATCTCTAAATAAGGTGTCATTCATCTTCCATCTGAAGGAGCCAGTTGGCATTAGTCTCATTTCCATCTTAACAGCATTATGGTCGGAGCAAATTTTCGGGCAGATTTCCACCTTTTTTGTTTTTGGTGCCATTCCTCTAGTTATCCAGATTTGGTCAATTCTTGTCCAAGTCATTTTGGCTTCAGAAAAGAAAGTTCCTTCTTTTGCCAAGGGGTTTCTAATTCTCCAAATATCCACTAAATCCAAGTTGTCTGTCATATCAAAAAAGGTTCTCGGTAGTCTACCATCTTTGGTGACTACCTGTTTTTGTGCCTTGTCCATGTAAGTAGATACCACTCCATTCATATCTCCCATCAAAATTATGTTGTGATCCATATGGTCCATCAAGGTCTCATGCAACTTCTTTAAAAAATCGGATTTCCCATCATTTGGTGCATAAACTCCTACGATCAAAAATTTTTCTCCTTGTGTTTGAATTTCAATTGCCACAAATCTTCCTTGGTCATCCTTGAAAACAAATTTTGGTGATAAATTGTCTTTTGCGTAGATCACAACTCCTCTCTTTTTAACTTTATCTGACGAAATAAATTCCTGACCAAGTCTTTTGTTTATTAACAATTTCCTGTGTAATCTCGTTATATGTGTTTCTTGTAAACAAATTAAATCTAATTGTTCCTTTTTTAATATATGAAATACTGACTTCCTCTTCTGAGGGGAATTCAAACCCCGGCAGTTCCATGTTAAAAGTTGCAGGGCCATGATGTTATTGTTTTGATTCTCCTCCTACTGCACCTAGTGCCTGTTCCTCGTCCGTCGGTGGTATCCCTTCTTTCGAACGATCTTTTGGTTCCGGAAATAGTTCTTTTTGTAAGTCTTCTCCGTGGTCCCTGTAAAATTTATCTTTATCGTCTTCCGATCTTATTTTCCTCTTCTTTCCCTTGTAGCTAAAAGACAGGCCTGGAGGGAGTTCCCACCTGAAATTGATGTTGTTCCTTCTCAGCAGGATAACCAGATCTTTGTATTTTGATCTGAGATCCAGAAGATATTTCGGAATGTCTTTGAATATTTCCACCCTTTTCTGATGGATTTCCAATGTTTTCCTGAAGTGTAAGCCCAAAATCTTATCCCTCTCTTCTTTTGTTCTAAAAGTAATCAGACAGTCTCTCACCTTCTTCTCTCCTCTTCTCCCAAGTCTAAATGCATTTACTATTGTGAAACTGTCTTTTGCCAGTTCTGGGTCCCAAAAGTCCAAAAATTCCTGCGTGAGAAATTCAGCTAAATTGTCCTTTTCCACCTCTGGTACTGATCTGACCCGAAGATTCACTTGCTTCTCCCTCAAATCTATCATAGACAGAGTTAGTTTATGGTCTTCCAATTGTTTATGCAATGTTGGTAATTCCTCTTGAACCTCCTTAACATCCGTAGCAGAAGTTGTAGCAATTTCTTTAGCCTCTTCAGCAATCTGGCGAATTGAGGCCGATTCCTCTAATAATTTCTGAATAGTCTCAGTGTTGGTATTTACTTTTTGGCCCAAATTATTTATACTTGCTGTATTTTGGTTAATACTTATTGTATTTTGATCAATCTTCTCACAAGCCTCTGCTACTTGTTGACTTATTTTACTCAAAGATTCATTAACTTTGGCCAAAACTTGAGCAAAGGCTTCTTCACTTGTCGAGCTTTTTACCTTTGATTGTGCCGATGAGGCTGTTGTTGAGGTTCCAGAAGGGCCTGAGGCCGAAGCTCTCCTTTGTAATCCTTCTTCTGTGCGAATATTCCTCCCCGATCTTGTAGTCGAAGCATCCGTCTTCTCTTTATCTGCCATTCCTTAGATAATTCTCAAGGTCAGACACGTAGTTAGAATTGTACAGTGGAAATTTCCTCCCAAGCAGTGTGAGAACTCCTCAAGCCTGCTACAGTTACAGTTGTAATAAGTTGCAACAGTTCCAAGTTCCACTAGGGGACACTGTAACAGTCCTAAAAGTTCTTGGATATTTTAATTTCCTTTTTAAGTCCCCCTAGTTTGTTCAACAGGAAAACAGTCTATCACAGTTTTCAACTTAGGACCAGGAGATGTATATTCACAAGATCTTATCCAAACTTTTTATCCAATGCAGGACTAGCTGTCAAAATATATTACAAGACAGTACCTCTTTTTTTCCCTAGGATCTGGAGAATCCTTTCCCAGGAAATTGAGTGATGGTTTAATCTCTTCTTTTCCACTCTTTATAAAGAAATCACCTCCAGAGATCTCCCCCTATTTTCCCTCAACTTATAGAGGGAAAAGTCCAGGTTCGATGATTGGATTAAAGTCCGCTAAAACGTACTTTCCAAAAGCTTCCGTTTTCAAGTTCAATGCTTTAAGTCTATCTACAATAGAAGGAGGCTGACTTCCTTTTAAACCTCCTTCCGTTTTCAGCCTAATTTCAGTTCCAATTTGTACAGTTCCAATTTGAGTATATCCTACTCACGGATCGTTGGTTTCCAAGTCCGGATTTTAAGAAAGAAAGGCAGCGCTCTCCGGTCGACAGCTTGCGGCTTCACACCACGAACGAGCAGACAGCCCACAGCACAGCGCTCTCCCCCGCTCCGATTTCAAGCCCGTTTCTGGGCTTTTTGCCGGGTTGGGGGGGAACACCAAATGTGCCCGCTGGGTCCCAGGTTCACAGGCTTCCCCGCCTGTGCTTTTGCGGGGGCCCCCGCTGCGCCGAAGCGGGATTCGACCCTATTTTCGTGGCGCTTATTCCCTCTAACCGAGGGAATCCGCCATCGACCGCTGGCGCCGCCTCCGGAAGTCGCCCCTTCTTTTCTTTTTTTCTTTGTTACTTCTCTGGGACAAGGGGTGGGAGGTTTTTGATGTGGATGCTTGTGAGCAACAATTCATACCACTCAGGGTGAGAGTCTGAATGGGTTGGAGAGTGGGGGTGAAAGGGGTTAACTTAGTCAAAAGCTACAGGGTGAGAGTCCGTTGGCACAGAGTGGGACCCTCTTTGTGTGAGTGGGTGACTTAAGTGAAAAACAATGTGGGAACCATTGCTAAGATCATTGGTTGTTTAACCTGTATAAATGATTTGTGTTTGATTTTTAGTTAGGTATTTGGTTAAATTGGATATTTTAATTTGTCGCTGTAGCTTTGCTTGTTTACAAAAAATATGACAGAATTCTTAACTTGTTGCTTATTGGGCCTGAGTATATGATTTTGTAGGGACGCGGGTGGCGCTGTGGGTTAAACCTCAGTGCCTAGGACTTGCCGATCATATGGTCGGCGGTTCGAATCCCCGCGGCGGGGTGAGCTCCCGTCGTTCGGTCCCAGCTCCTGCCCACCTAGCAGTTCGAAAGTACCCCTAAGTGCAAGCAGATAAATAGGTACCGCTTTATAGCGGGAAGGTAAACGGCGTTTCCGTGCGCTGCACTGGTGCTGGCTCGCCAGAGCAGCTTCGTCACGCTGGCCACGTGACCCGGAAGTGTCTTCGGACAGCGCTGGCTCCCGGCCTCTTAAGCGAGATGAGCACGCAACCCCAGAGTCGGTCACGACTGGCCCGTACGGGCAGGGGTACCTTTACCTATATGATTTTGTAATTTTTGTATTTTTTCTGCTTATTTTTCTTACTCTGTGATTGAAAATATTTGAATAAATCCTGAAAATAAATCAATATATTAAGCATTCCCATAAAGCATCCAGAATGCTTTTAAGTAAAGCAGTATTTCATTTTAATTGCCACTTACTATTCAAGGCTACAATTGCAGAAGCTGATAACCAAGAAAGTTCATTTGGATGTTTCACTAAATAGAAGGCTTGCAAGCTGTAGAGAAACGGAACCCACACCAAGTCTCCAAATGCTAGCATGAACCCAAAACCATCATGGATGATGTCCATTGTTGTCAGAATAGCTTCCTAAAAAGTTAAAAGAATTAAATGAGTACTGATCTGAATTTTTGTTAATGGCCAAAATATTTTCACTATATTGTTAGGGTTGTGTACATGTGGAATATGCAGCAAAGCACACATAAACTGAATTTACACTTTTCTAAAAATCAGCAAATGTTTTTCAGCAATGAGCTCTCAATGCCTTTTACAATTCAGCTATCTACATAGGCAGACGAGAGCTAAAACAGGAGAAACTAGTACTAGTTTCCCACTCTGCTTCCCTTCTCTCACACATAAACATCACACCCATTCACACAAAAACTCTTACCCCATTCATCCATCCATTATCTCATTCATACTCACACACCCAAAACAACCTGCCCCAATGCACAGCTACCTATTTTGTGCTTCACCGCTTTGGCTAAGAAAGTTAGCCAATCTTGCAGATTGCCACCACAGAATGTACAAGATGCCCCCTGTTCCAAAACTGAAATCACTTTGCGGGCTGTATCCTTGATGCCCTTATTCTGTCAGAGAAAGAAGAGCCAGCAGGCAGACATGGTGCCTGGTTCATTCTGTGGTCAACCCTTAGAGCAAGACTGCTAGAGCTAGATCTGGCATCTCTTCTGAGACGGCAGACCAGGTAGCACACAAGATATAGCCAAATGCCTTCCCCAATGCCCACAGCAGTCTTCCCTGCCACTGAAGGTTGCTCCAGGTGTTGGGAAAGGTGTCTGGTTTTTGGCATCCATAGGGAAGACCCCAGAAGCCCACCTATATGCAGTCTACAGAAAGATGCAACCCCTTTCACTTGACAGAGGGGAACAAGTTATACAACAATTTCCTCATACGTTTCATGAACAGCCTAGCCCACAATGTTTTTCAGCCAATTGTTGTGATGATGAGCCAATCATATGCTTGTTATCATATAAAAATAAGAGATGGTTTTCTCCACAACCAAAATGGGGATACTGAGAAACATAAGGGAGGCACTAGCAGGATTAGAGGAAACACACGGTTTGCAGAAGTACAACACATTAAAAAAAAAAAACTTCAAAAGGAGGCAAAAAATATATCCTACCAAATAGCCATAAACATTACCTCATTCCAAAGTGCATCCACCACATAAAGGAGCTGGAAACTATTAACCAGTATCATGGACAAAGATGGCATATTCAGATGTTGCACTTTCATCTCAGTCAACAGCATTGCCAAGTTAATAACAACCTTAAAAAAATTAAGTTGCACATTAAAATCAACTTTTTTCTTACAACTCTGGTGAAAAAGTAACACAAGTTTCAATGTTAATTTCATTTCAAAGCATTTTTCTCCTGCTCACAAGAAGTATTTTACTCATGTATAAGCAGAGTTTAACCTAGTTGTGCTCTATTCCCTTTAACCTTTCTATTTATCTTCCCATATTTGTATTTTAACTCTTATAAATTAAACAATAGCTATGTAAAATGAGAGATACTTGCAGCTGTGACCATTGTACAACTAATGCTGCCGTGATAATGCTGCTGTTTGTAATATATAATATAGTGTCATCATATTGTTGATATTTCCAGTATTTTGCAATCTTTTCCTGCAGTACATTTTTCATTTTAAGAAGTTAGTTGTCTTATTTGTAAAATCAAAGATGATGCAAAGATAGATTTAAACACTTACTCACCCAGCCAATTAGCCCTGGTCGTAACTCACAGAAGTATTTCAGGTCAAAATTTCTGATGCGAGGATTTAATTCACGTCCCATAAAAAAGTCATAAAATATATTCCCTACAAATAAAAATAAATTGGACCACAGTATAATATTGGCTGTAACTGGGTTTTATCCAAGTCACACTTAAAGTAGTCCCACTGCAATTAATGTACCGTATTTTTCATCCCATAGGACGCACCTGGTTTTGGGAGGGAAATAAAGGAAAATTTTTTCCCCTTTATTCCCTCCCCAAAACCAGGTCAGGGAAACCAAACCAGGTCGGGGAACAGCGGTATGGCTGCGCTCCGTCTCCCCGCTGTCCCCCGAGCTTGTGGGGCTGGCCGATGTCTGCCCGAAGCGCGGGGCGCTCTGCTTCAGCATGCCCCGCGCTCCGTGCAGCAGGCTGCTATCCGCGGCCTAGGGAGCCCTGCGGGAACTCCCGCGGGCTCCCCAGGCTTGCTGATAGCTTCCTGAAGCCTGGAGAGCGAGAGGGGTCGGTGCGCACCAACCCCTCTCGCTCTCCAAGCTTCAGCGAAAGCCTGTATTCACCCCATAGGACGCACCCAGATTTCCCCTTCATTTTTGGAGGGGGCAAAGTGCGTCCTATAGGGCGAAAAATACGGTACTTAAGATAGTCAGACAGGATTTCTGTCTAGAACTTCTTACAAGACATAGTTATGCCAAACTTGCCCCATATTCTTAAAATACACTGAAAAGAAAAGTGGGTATACATTCTTCTATGTTATAAGTTTAATTTAATACAACTTTACAGGAGCACACAATCCAATAAGAATGCTTTTTATCAAGGTACATGCAAATTAAATTAGTAATTATGTAAATAGCATGAGCGGATTAAATCAGACAAAAAAGCATTAGAAGTTAAATGCTTGATTCCTCTTAGTGTTTCACTGAAAGCCCCAAGACAGAGACAGAGACTATGGAGCAGAGGAATGGGGTTAATGTAGTTTGTAATGACAGTACTTTTGACACACAGAAATGCATAAGAACGAAAAATAAAATAAAATAAATCAAGCACGGTATGTTTCCACAACTGAACACTTACCAGAATTCCCCCCAGGTGACAATTCTTGTTCAGGTGCTCTTAATGAACGGGCATAGAGATAAATGCTTAACACCACAGAAAAAACTGTAGCACAGACAGCGAATTGTAGGAAATGGTCATATATATAGGAAAACTCCATTTCAAAATACAGAGAAATTCCTACAGCTGCAGCTGTTAGGATAAAAGCATAGAATCCTTGAAGGAGAGAAAAAAACCACAGGAGATATGTGAGACACAAGTAAAAAAAACCACTATTCTAAAAACACACTTAAGAAAGTGAATGCGTAGAAACATTGTAAATCATTTTCCTAATTAAATCATCTTAATAAAGTGGGCTCTGATACAAAATTTTATGCCAGAAATCTTTGTATTTAAGGTTTCCAATTTGGCAATATCTATACACGATGTGAAACCCTAAGTCTACAATTCTGTATTCATTTACCTTGGAATTAACTACCCAAAGGGACTTATTTATATAAAAATTAATCCATTTACTATAATAAACAACTTTAAGCTGCTTACAACAAAAATAACAATGCAACATTCAATAAAATTTCTTCAAACGCTTGTGATGGATCTAGCAAGCACCCCCAAACTCTGTACAGTCGTACCTTAGAAGTTGAATGGAATCCATTCCAGAAGTTCGTTCGACTTCCAAAACGTTTGGAAACCAAAGTGCCTCCTGCAGCCAATTGGAAGCCACAGAAGCCCTGTCGGATGTTCGGCTTCCAAAAATAGTTTGCAAACCGGAACAGTCACTTCCGAGTTTGTGGCATTCGAGCGTTCAAGAACTAAGCTGTTTGAAAACCAAGGTACGACTGTACTTGCTCCTTCAGAGGGAGCACAACCCCATCCAGAGCCAATACAAAGCCAAATTTGCACATCTGGGAATCACCCATCCACATGGTGGACTCTGTCTTTTCAGGATTCAGTTACAGCCCACATCTAGTCCAGGCATGGTTTAAGACATGCATGGCCTCTCCTGATTCCGTTATTTCTGAATGAAATAAAGCTGGATGTCATCAGCAAAGCAGTGACACTTTGTTCCAAATCTAATGATCAATGGTATCAAGAGCCACTGAGAATTCCAGGAGAATCAACATGGTCACATTTCCCTGTCCCTCTCCTGAAGGATATCATTCATCAGCAACTCAGACTAAGTAAGTTAAGGACAAGAATTCAAATTGTATTATGACTACAACAATATATGTGTAATAAAAATTTAGCCCATTTAGACACATATTACACTAGAAGTATAAAACAAACTATGGTTATGGCCATTACTGAAGGCTACCACACCTACAGACAAGTACTAAGCAAGTGGAAAATTAAAAGCAGAAAATCAGCTGTAACCATATAGCTGAAAACCCAAAGCATCATTTGGCATGATAACTGAACCATATATTCTCATGTTTGCAATCTCAATAATTATAGGTTACCAGTTTAAAAGTAATGCTTAATTTAAAACCTAATTACCATTTATCCTGTATTCCAGTCTCATTCCATTCAAAAGTGGGGTCCCTTCTACAATCTTAAAAGATAAAGAAAAAGTCTTTTCCACCTAGATTCAGGAGTGGTAAAGCAAATTATGGAAACAATCATTTTTAAAGAACCTGTTGCCTTTCTACATTTTGTAGAATAACAGAGCCACTTAGCCAAGAGAAGGGGAAATTCTAAACCTTGCAATTACATGATAATCCCCATGATATAAAACTGACTGCATAATAATCTGTAGTTTAAAAACTATAAAAAATAGATTAACCATGGCTCTTTCCATGCAACCACAAATCCCAAAGTTGGCATAGAAGAATACAACACTCATGCAACTACAAAAATAAGATATCTAGAAGAAATATTTGTATTCATTCTAATAATTTATATACCACCTTTGATTTAAAAAAGAAATACTAAGGGGACTAACAGATCAATAAAACAATGTATCACAAGAAAACCAGGTCAGAAAAAAACAAATTAAAATATTGATCACAGTGACCAGAAGCCATTATTAATTGTCAGGAAAATGCCCAGGTAAGCAGACAGATTTTCATTTGTCAACATAAACATTCTATGATCAATCTGCTTGATCATCACAGGCAGATCAATGTACAAGGCAGAAACCACTATGTAAAAAAGCCCTTTTCAGCATCACTGTAAGATGTACATCTACAGTCCATGGCATGGTTCCTAAGGCTGCCTCTGCAAACCACAGTGATTGAGATTGTCACAATCCAGCTCACCACTCCATCAAGACGTGTCTAGAGCATGCCTGGGTAATTCCTAAGTCAAACGTAACAGAGAAACAGGGCTGAGTGCCCCAGATCTCCTGAAGGCCATCCCAATGGTTTAATATAGAATCTATGATGTAAAATATAATTGTGTACATTCCTGTTTGGCAGGAATGTAGTAGGAACACTGAAAATTGCAATGATCATTCTCCTCATCATATATAGTCCCTCAAATCATCATTTTCATTGGTTTTGCTTTATGACAGCCATAATATTTTTAAAAATTGTGACACACACAAAATAAGAATGCATTTTTGTAAACGCAGTATACAAATTTATAGTTAAAGTTTTACCTTTCCTATTGGGAGTAAGTAAAACAGAGCTTGGAGAAAGAACCAAAGAAGAAAAACACCAAACACTCTTGTCTCCCATAAACTTTCCAAAGCTGGGAGGGAGGGAGGAAAATTCAGAACACTGGGGTCTTTCTGAGTACACATCAACAACAAGTAAAATACAGTTGCAGGAAGGAGAAAAATCATTAAAAAGGCACCTGCAAAACAAACACAGAATCAGAAGTTAAACAGAAAATAAAATAGTGTAAAGCATTACTACAACAGAAAAACTGTTGTCAAACTACTCAGTTGTTAAAATATTGCAACTCAAAGATCACCCCCCCCACACACATACCAGAACTGTTACCTATTTTAAGATATAATGCTTTCATTGCCTAATGGAGAACAATTTGAAATGAGTTGCATAATTAAAGACTGCATGTATACTTCTAGCAATTGCACAGAAATGATATTGTCTAAACTTTAAGGTACGAAAGGCTCTTGGCCAGCAGCAGGTAGCCACAGAGATGCAAGAGGAAGGAACTACAGTGGAACCTCAGTTGTCAAACGTAATCTGTTCTGGAAAAGACCATTCGACGTCTGAAACGTTCAACAACCAAGGTGCATTGGGCAGTCAGCAAAATCCATTGAAAAAATGGAGAAACACGCCTCGGAAGCCATTCAACTTCTGAGGTGGAAGCATTCACTTCTGGGTTGTCAGTGTTCAAAAGCAGAAATGTTCGACTTCTGAAGCGTTCGACAACCGAGCTTCCACTGTAGTCCCAATTCTAGTCACTTGCCCAGATACTGATGACATGTAAGCATAGTAGCTGATGTCGCACAGAAAGCATGATTACTAGAAAAGATTATGCAATAAAATTCATGAAAACCACGGTCATTATGTAACTATTTATTGAGTATGCTGGGATTCAAGAAACCACTACCAGGAGAGGTCTCAAACTGACTTCTAATGGAAATGCCAGCTCTGTATATACAAGGATGTGCATACAGAGCTGCTTCCCTCCACTAAAGTGAATTTGGGAATTTGCAAAAAACTATATGAATGCTGCAGTACGCCAAGACTAACATACCAATTTTTCCTCCAAACTCTAGTTCCTTTGTCTTCATGCATACTTTTACAACAGGTTTGGGTTTCTCAAAAATTCTCTCTTCTGAATACATTTCTTCTGTTCTCTTCTCCTCCTTCCTTGAATGCAAATTGTAGCGTTCGAGGATGCGCTCTCTGGCACGCTCAGATTCAATTCTTTGGCGCTAAAGACCATAGTGAAGGGAGAGGAAGTCATTTGCAATCATATTGCACCACCTGCTGGATATATCCCTGCATTCAAGTAATACTGCCTGAAAACCCCTCATTTCTTTGATCCCACCTCTGCTAATCTACACCGCCATACACTCCCTTCTCATACCAACTAGGTCCAGCCTCTTCCTCGAAAAAACCCCACAATTCCTTTTCATCAGTACATTTACAACACAATGCACACAGTCATTCTTAGCAGGATAAGAGCAACCTATCCCTTTGTCAATGCTCTTTATAACATATTCAAGATCCTTTCTCTACATTCTATCCATTTTATCATGTCAACGTTCTTTATAAAATATTCAAGATCCTTTTTCTACATTCTATCCATTTTATCAAGCAATACATTTAATGCAGATATTGTAATCTCAAGGATCGAAGAGCAGCTAACTTTAAACATCTAACCAGAAGGTTTCCAGAAACAATGGAAATTTGAGTATGTTGAACATTATTTCATACCTCTAGAGTGTTGTGAGATGAGTAATTCACTTCTGTGATATCTGGCTCCCCATTATACTGGTTGGTGTTGTTTTCATTTAGTTTCTAGATTAAAAAAAAAGAAATGAGTGTTTTCATTGTAGTAAATATTTTTAAGAAAACCTTCCATTCCACAACTAATCATAGATTGCCTTTATAAATTTCTGATGCGTAGCACAGACACACAAGAGAACCAGGTTTTATGGAACCCTTGAACAAAATTCTAAAACAAATAACTTTGGGAAGTACCTGGTTTAGTTTTAACAGTCTCCAAATCTAAGTAGAAGAGGAATTTGTGAAACAGTGGAGAAGTGGAAAATCAGTATATGGAACCTGTGGTGTGCTCCATATAATTGACTTTTTTATGTCTGTGCCAACTTTATTCTGACAGTACTCAATTCCTTCTACTTTCTTTGCAAAGGAAGAATAAATTGAATAGTGCATGAAATCTGGTTTGTTCAAGGTACAGTTGCTATGTGTTTTTGTGATTCCAAACTACAAAAAGTGCAGCTACTGTCAAACTATATTGCCCATAAATTTTCTATATTTCGGTTTAGCTGTATGTGAACATAGCTTGACAAAGGGACTAGACATAAAAATAAATCAACTCAAATACCAAAGGAATCAAATTAGGTTCCCCAATCATATTCTTTTCATTTTTTGGTTCTCTGCTTTGAGAGGAAGAACGACGTCTGTGTTTTGCTGGCCGACCAGGTGAACGTGATCTAGAGCCTGATCTAGATCTGCTACCACTGCGTCTTGAAGGGGAACCGGAGGAAGAGCTACTTTTTCTAAATCGAAAAGACGACATAGACTGAAAAAAAAAATAGTTACATCATTAGTTTTACAAACTAATAGGTAGTTATTAATATCTCTAAATCTTCTATTTAAAAATATTCATTGTTTACATTACATTTCCAAGCACAAGTCAAAGTGTTGGTGCTGACCTTTAAAGCCCTAAACAGCCTCGGTCCAGTATACCTGAAGGAGCATCTCCAACCCCATCGTTCTGCCCAGACACTGAGGTCCAGCGCCAAGGGCCTTCTAGCGGTTCCCTCGCTGCAAGAAGCCAAGTTACAGGGAACCAGGCAGAGGGCCTTATCAGGAGTGGGACCCGTCCTGTGGAACGCCCTCCCACCAGATGTCCAAGAGAAAAACAACTACCAGACCTTTAGAAGACATCTGAAGGCAGCCCTGTTTAGGGAAGCTTTTAATGTTTGACGGACTAATGTATTTTAATATTTTGTTGGAAGCCATCCAGAGTGGCTGGGGAAACCCAGCCAGATGGGTGGGGTATAAATAAATTATTATTATTATTATTATTATTATTATTATTTGCATTAATTCAGTTTTTTGGCAACATCACTTGAAGGTGGATCAAGAAATTGAAAAGAGGTGAAATGAAGAAATAGTATGGCACCTTACTATTCAAGCTTGTAAAGCACAACTGCCACCTCAGTCTAAAACCAAGGTAGAAGTAAAACCATAACAAATGTGCTCAACCTTGAAAGCTGATGTGTGCAGCTCTACTCTTAGGGGGAAATCTAGATGTATGGTGATTTATGTAGGTGATAACCCTACATAAATAAATATGAAATTGCATCATCCCAAACCTTAGCACCAATATTGAAAATAAAGCACAGCTTATTTCAACATACATTCAACATATATTTAAAATACATTTGTTTGGAAAATAAATATGTTTATTTGAGTTGCTAAAACACACCCTAAAATACCAAAGCAGTTCATTTTGGACTTTAAAATATTCTGCACACATGCTGATTAGATGTGGGATCAGGATGTGGGAGATATATGCATTTTTAAGAAATTCAGCAACCCAAAACATTGTGTGTCAGATGTGAACTGATACAACCAGAGCAGTTATTACTGAATCTACTTGGACATAGGACATAAAGGATACGAATTTCTTCAGTTTCCTAAATGCCTGATATACTACAAATTTTCAAAGCTGAGCCCCCAGCAATTTTTTAAAAATGTGGCTGTACATGCATTACAATATGTTTAATGACTTTACAAGTGTTCAACAAACTCCATGGCCATAGTACAACACCCGCATGTGGAAAATTCTGTTGATAGTGCACAAAATGCCCCTCAAAGCGTTTTATAATGGGCTAATCTTAAAACATACAAAATCAATGAGGAAAAGGAGCATAATGGCTTGATATATAGTGCAACTTTACAAACCATGGGTAGTATTCAATGCTCTCATTCCATCAGTGCAAGCACTTTTGGCTGCACATTGGAACTTCCACTTCGCCTCCCAACGTGCTCTCAGGGTTCCACCAACATTCGGGAGTAGTTTTGGGGATGGCACAGCATGAACCTTCTGTTATACAAATGGAAGTCCTTGTGCTAATGGAGCAAGTGCATTGGATACCACCCCATAGTTTTATTCTCATACTGCAGGAATATACACAGAAGCAAATATTTAGGACTAATGACTGAAGTGTAGCCCAAAGGGTTCATTAGTAACCAAACAAATGAGCCCTTCTTGTTATGATTATTTACTCTAGAGACTAATTACCCTCATATCGCTTTCTTTTAGCTGAAGCTCAGTTCCATCTTTGTATTTTACTGTGTAAAGATGAGTTCGGTCATCATAGCTGGTTACTTGTACTTCATAATACAGAACACTTCCAGGCCACCGGCCCATTACCACTTCTTCATCAGCAAACTTTCTCCTGGGCATGTTTCAATCTTGGGGGGGAAAGTGGAGGAAATTGAAGTTGTAAGCATAGATGTTGCAAAAGTCAAGTCATGCTTTGAGTCTAATGAAGTTAAACAAAGTCACCTGTGTGCTGAATGAGCTAAACAGAAGAAATGTATGAGCAGTGGGACATTTTGTTTTGCTCAACAGCATTTCCCTGTTTTTGTAAATGAAATGGCTCTTGGCGCAGCTATTTCCCAGCCTCTTCCTGTTCCCCTGCGGGCCCAGGGCTGCCTGTGGGACTTGCCTGTTGGCCAAGTCAGCACTCAACTCACAGAGGGAGGCAGCCCCGCACAGGGAGCGAGGGCGGCGGCAGCTGAGGAGGTCTGGTCTGAGAGCCAGTGACAGAGGAGAAATGTGATGGCAATGTCTTGTCAGAGGTGAGCGGTTGGGGCCCATGGATGTGCCCAGTGTCTGGTAACTAGCGACAGTAGAGCATGCATCTGAGGCAGGGCTTGTGCAGCAAGCCTCCCGGTTCTCCATGTGGGGCAGGATCAGAGACCTATGTTTTTACCATATTTACCATATTTCACAGTGTAATTGTCACCACTGCATAATAGTCACACCCCTTTTTAAAAAGAAAAATTGGCATTAAAAAAGCAACCATTACACAGTACAGTGGTACCTCGGGTTAAGTACTTCATTCCGGAGGTCCGTTCTTAACCTGAAACTGTTCTTAACCTGAAGCACCACTTTAGCTAATGGGGCCTCCTCCTGCTACTGCGCCGCCGCTGCACAATTTCTGTTCTCATCCTGAAGCAAAGTTCTTAACCTGAGGTACTATTTCTGGGTTAGCGGAGTCTGTAACCTGAAGCATATGTAACCTGAAGCGTATGTAACCCGAGGTACCACTGTACTAGTGTTTTACTCCAGTTCTAAGCTGCACAGGTGCAAAAAAGAGTATGGGATTTTCCCATCTGTTCAAATATATTAGTTCAACACACACACGGGAAAAATATGAAACTACACAGACACAATGGGAAAACAGGTACAAGAGGTTCACACTATGTGCTATGCTTTGCCTATTGCAGTCAATAGGCTTAAGACTGCTTAACTTAGCATTGGACTGTAGCTGGACTCCAGTTCAGTGAACTGATGTCAATTAAACGCCCCCATTTCAAAAAGGTTATGACAGGTCCAAAATATTTTTGGGCCCAGGGTGACACCTGAAAATCCATTAAATGACTTGCTTTCTTGTCAGAAGTTAGCTCATAAACAAGGGTTGGAACAGGGATCCATCCCTTTAATCAACACACAACTGTTAACTCTGCACTGCTGTTCGTACTTACATATAAGCCCACTGAAATTAGTGGGGCTTACTTCCTGGTAAAAATACACAGAACAAGCTGCATTTCAGGTGCAGAGGGGAGAGGCCTCTCTGTTTAAGCGTATACCACTTCAGTGGCTTTATACAGTGAAGAGGTCTATAAAAGTAATAAATAAACGTGGAACAAGAAATGGAACTTTTACTTCTAGAAAAACACAGTGCAAGTCAAATAGTATCTGTACTGATTTAAATAACAGTTGCAACGATACCAAATTTCTCAAGTGGTTGCTTATTTAGTGTAGCAATTTATGACACAAATGAAGCAAAATTAGATCTTAAATTGCAGGTGTGCTTGCGAAGATTGATGCAACAGGCACAAGTCTCCCACATAACACATTTAGCCCTGTAAGCATAAAATACTAAGCATATCCATGTTTTACTGGATTTTTGTGCAACAGTACTCCTTGTTGACTATGTCAGGTGCACTTGTCTGACATCTCCACTAAATTAATCTATGCACTTCAAAATAAATTAAAGAGCAAAAAACTTGTTGATGTCTGCAGGCTAGTATTTATTGGGACTTTGGGATGTACCATCAGCCCCCTGGAGGAGTCGTAAGACATCTTCAAGGAGTGCATATCAATCCCATGGAATGATAGGCTCCTGAGTGCTTTCCTTCACTACAGCTAAGACTTGGGTAGGTTCAGAGTGTGCCCCGGCAGCAGACCCTCACTGGATGTGGGAATAACCGGATATTAACATCACTCCACAGCATCTTAAAAAGTAGAGACATCACCTTGCCAACAAAGGTCCGTATAGTAAAAGCTATGGTTTTCCCAGTGGTGATGTATGGAAGTGAGAGTTGGACCATAAAGAAGGCTGATCGCCAAAGAATTGATGCTTTTGAATTATGGTGCTGGAGGAGACTCTTGAGAGTCCCATGGACTGCAAGAAGATCAAACGTATCCATTCTTAAGGAAATCAGCCCTGAGTGCTCACTGGAAGGACAGATCATGAAGCTGAGGCTCCAATACTTTGGCCACCTCATGAGAAGAGAAGACCCCTGGAAAAGACCCTGATGTTGGGAAAGATGGAGGGCACAAGGAGAAGGGGACGACAGAGAATGAGATGGTTGGATGGTGTTCTTGAAGCTACCAGCATGAGTTTGATCAAACTGCGGGAGGCAGTGGAGGACAGAAGTGCCTGGCGTGCTCTGGTCCATGGGGTCACGAAGAGTCGGACACGACTAAACGACTAAACAACAACAACATCATCACTCCAAAGTGATTTGAAAAGCAGCAAGCTTAGAGATAGCTGCTGTATGTTTCCTTCTGCAAGCCTTTGGGAGGTGACTAGAAAGTATCATTTTAAAAAATATTTCTAATATTAGTATGTTATTACTACTACAGCTTGCAAATCCTCATATACACAGCGCATACACATGGCTGAATGAAAAGCTTTCACACATTTGTCTGCGGAACAGGTTTTTGTATAAGACTAATTAGAAGAAGAATTATAGAATTGTAGTCTTGGAAGGGACCCCAAAGATCATCTAGTATTGCCAGTTTTAAATTTGGATGGTACCACTTAATTAGCTTCAACAGCAATGCAATTAATGATCTTAGTACTGCAGCCTTAGGATTCCTTCCAGCAGCATTTGCAGTTTTACAACCATTTAACATGAACTTCACACATCTGCAGTGGTTTCAAAGGGGACCTAAAAATCAAAAGCCCGAGTGAGTTGTCCTGGGAGACTGCAGACGGAAGTGCAAATTCACAATTATCCATAAAGCTCACTGGGTGATCTTAGGCTACTGTGTCTCAGCCTCCCAGGGTTGAAAATAAAATGGGGAGCGCAACATTCACGCACAAGATTTTGAGCTTCTTGGAGGAAAAGTGGAATATAAATGAAATAAGTAAGTGTCCTCTATTCACTTCTCCCCAGAAACGACCAACGAGAAGAGTGCATACGTCAGAGCCGGAGATAAACATTATTATTTTAAAAAGGTGAACTTCCATCCTAACGGGAATATTATTCTAAAACAAGTTCCACCAAGTTCCGTGGAGCTGACCCCCTAGTAAAGATGCTTAGCAAGAGCTGCTGCCATCACTTCCAGACCCCTCCTGCGTGTCGCGAGGTGCCTGCGATGCTCTCCGACCTTTTCGCTCCGCGGCTCTCAGGGGCGGGATCCGCTTTCCGCAAAGAGGGGAGGACAACTGATGGTGTTTCCTGCTTGGCAGGGGGTTGGACTCGATGGCCCTTGTGGTCTCTTCCAACTCTATGATTCTATGATTCTATGAACTCGCTCGCGCAGCCTCTGCGGCGCCCCAAACGGCCCACGAGAGAAACTTAGCGGCCCCTCGCGGGTGGGACTGAGGGGGGAGTAAAGAGAGGCGACGCGCGGCTCTCGAAACAAAAGAGCCTGGCGAAAGGCCGAAGGGGGGACGCGGAGCGACGGCTGTGGGAGGCACAGGCTGCAGCCTGACGGCACCCAGGCCTCAGAAAATGGAGGCGGAGGGAGAGAAGGAAGGAGGGTGGGTGGGAGCAGAAGGAGGCGGCGACCGCCCGGTACCCTCCCTCGCAGGACAGGCGCCGAAGGGGTGTGTCCGGGCCCGCAAACAACGCGTCCTCACCTGTTCGCTGCGCCCCCGCCGCGTCGTCTGGTACGGAGGTCTCGGCCGAGCAACGCGAAGCCTGGGCAAGCGGGCGAAGGAAGGGGGCGAACTCAACGGCAGCAAGAGCCAACCGCCTCAAGCGACGGTTACGGGAGCGATAGCGGGCGACGTTCCAAATCCCTCCCCCGGGTCCCGCTGGGAGGCGCGAAAGGCGAGGCGCCAACCGCCGCCATTGGCCAAGCCGCGGCGTTTGAATCCGTCTCGGCGGCCTCCCATTGGCTGAGAGTCGGTGGCGCGTTCCTCCCTCTCGCGCTCCGACGCTCAACCTCCCGAGTTCCGGTCCAAGTTGTGCCTCCGCTTCAGCCAGTTGACATAGTTCACTCCAGGGAGCTGAGAATCCTGTAGCGCAGCGCCAAAAGGACCCGCCTCCTCTCAAAGCTCGCTGCTGCTCGTCCGGCTCTCTCCGAGTGATGGAGAGGGGAGCGGGCTTTTCCCCTCTCCTTCGAGTTTGCACATCTGAACAGATGCAAACGTGTCGATAAGCGGGTTCCCAGATGAAATCAAGGATGGTGGGGACGCCGCCCAGAAGTTCCCGCTCCCACTGTGGACGGCGAAGCATAGTTTTAACGCGCACGCGGGGAGTTTGGGTGGGTGTGTAAAGCAATCCGCTCACGTTTCTGTCAGCGCAGATCAGGCAACACCCGCCCACCCAGTCCCTGTGCACTGAACCGCTTTATGCCAAGAAAAACAAAAGATGCAGGAAGTCCAAAGCGGTGCAAGCCGCACGCCCTGAAATTTGAAGAGCTTCGCATATACGGAACCATTTGCGACTGGTGCCTTACTGTTACTGAACTGGATACGTCCGAAATTTTAAACATCTCTTCTAATTCCAGCAGCCGATGGTCTTTTTAACCTGCAGTGCTGTCCTCTGCCCCATGGCTTTGATGGTAGAGAGAACGAGCGTGACCCTCATTTCGAAACAAGACCGTGCTAGACGTTTATTTTCTTGAATGCCTTTCATCAAAAGGTTCCAAGGCGGTGATCAAAAGTCTGACGAACGATTCACAGGCTATATAAATGCAATACAAAACCAACCCATAAACATAGCAATAGGGAACAAGAGAAGAGACAGACTAAAAATAGGCTGGCTCTGTAAGGACTGCGTGAGGCACATAAGGGGGTTCAAACCTCCGTTTGAGAGCTTGTAAGGTTTGCTGCTGGCTGTGAGTCTTGGAAGTGCTGTGGTGTCACCTGGTGAGGCAGGGTGGCAAGACACCTGCCATTTTTGCAGGTTCAGCTTGTGTGTGTTTTCCCTCCCCTATTGAAAATGCATTGGTAATAGTGGCTATTCAGCTAGCATAGTACTGTAACTATGTGGCTTAAGTCCCAGCATATTGGCATATTGAACCAGCTGCAATCCTATGCATATGCCAACCCCCTCACAAAAGAGCTCAACAACTTTTGTGTCCGGATTTTCACCTTTTGAAATATGGCAATAGCCTAGTTTCACCCCTGGCATATGCTTACCTAAGACCAGAATTCAGTCAGGACAGCAACCGTGTACGAATGCTTCCAGATGGGAGTTTATTGTGAAATAAGTGCTGCTTATGCATGCAAGATCCCCTGCACTGCCAGTTCCCATGCTATTGTCACAATCAAATCCAAAATGTAAAAACAACTTGTTATAGCTGCAGCCACTGCTGCTGTGGAAGCTTGTTAGCGCATAACAGGTTTATCACGTGTGATGTTTCAGTGAGTGGCTTCTAAGGCTACCACAGCCTACTTCCATTTACTTGTCACCTGAGTACAACCAGCCATTTGGTTTCTGGCGGCCCATCAGGAAACATTCTGGGCACTCATAGGTTTACAGTGTAAGTCCTGACTAACCTTAGCTCAGAGCCTAAATATGTTATTGAACTTCCCACTGGTGTGTTAAGGCAGATAAAAATGTATAATCTAACTATTTTGAAAAATAAAATTTAATGTTATGGTTTAGGATTGTTTTTATTTTGAATTACATGGTGGTGGCACCATAACATTTTCAGTGCTTAGTGCCTCTAAAGGCCTTCATCCAGCCTGTATAACAAGCAAACATTCTAAGACCGTCTAAACAATACACATGGCATGAAAACAAAAGGCATGTAACTCTTTTAAAAAATATTTAGCGCTGATATATTGTTGGGCCTAAACCTTGGGCCAAAAATCCTACCTACTGTATTTGAAAGATGTAACTAACATGACTCTTTTGGATGAGCCTTTAAATACACTTGCCTTCTTGGAAACGTTCCCAAATTGTTAAAAGCTGCTTATGTAGATAACAAACACACATAGTGGCTGGAGCTGCAAACAGCTTGTGCAATAAAACTTTCTCTCTTTTTTTGGTGCAAACTTGTGCCTTAGAATTTGTAATTTGAATTTGAGATTCTGTAAACAAGTTGAAAACAAAACAAAACAAAATCATACTGTAAGCAATATGATTCCAATGTTCCAGTCTAGGTGCCTGTGGCAATTGCCCTTTCTCTATTGCAATTGTGCATTTGCAACACCTTGTTGTTGCATAAGGGAAGTTTGTGCAACCCTTCTATTCCAGTGTATTATGATAAGATATACATGCTATAGTACCACTCCGGCAAGCGTTCAGCATTTTCTCTTTCCATGCATTGCTCCAGTTACTGGTCCCGTGAGAAAGTCTATGGATTTCATGGGTAGGAAGGAGGCCAATTGCTGTTGTGCGTGTATGTTTTCTAGATTAAAGACTGTTGGAGAGCCTGAACTATTTTCTTAAGACATTTGAGCCAGCATTCTTTTAAAGATGGTCATTATACTGAGAATTATGAAATGTTGGGTTGCAGTTGCTGAGTTTCTTAGGCCTCCTCATTTTTCTTTCAATTGTTGCAATCCTCTTAAAAAACAAACAAACGTGAAAAATGAGTTTCCGCCACCTCAACTGCCTGGAATATTTGGTTCATATTTTTGACACTTTGCAAAGCAAAAACTAAATTTAAAAGAAAAAAACACTTATGGACAACTGAAATATAAGCAGCTATATTAAAGAGAGGGTTTGAGACTGCTTCAAAGCCATTTCCTGCATAGGCAATGCTGCTTTATTGCCATGCACAACCAACCACTGTGATGTCCAAGCTAGTTGAGGCTAGCACTGCCAGAGACTTGATGCTTGTGACCCCAAGTAATACCGTATTTACTCAAATCCAACGCTCATCTCTTTTGGCCAAATTACGTTGTGAAAATTAAGGTATGCATTAGATTCAATGGCACATTTACATTCACCAGCAAATGCTTTTTTTGGTTTCAAGCTTTTGAAAATTGAGGTGTGCATTATATTCGATGGTGCATTAGACTTGAGTAAATACGGTATATAGAATTTAGTATCTCAGGTTCCGTACAAGCAGCAAAGCACTGTATATTTGCATAACACCAAACCATGGTTTAGTGCTACATCGACAAATCTGAATGGGGCCAGTCAAAGCATTAGTGTTGTGCATGCTCCCTTCTCCACCTGCAGAGCTAGAAGTCCAGTGCCTCCTAGTGGATAAACTCTAACACTATACACACAACAGACTTTATTTTTTCATAGACCTATAGGTGCTCCTGCCACTCTAACTGCACTTGCATGCTCTCTTTTAGCCAAAAACCTCAGATATACCATGCATGCACAAACACATGGCTGATTTCTGGTAGTGGGGAAGGAAGAGAGATCTGGTCTGGGGTGAAGCAGAGTCAGTGGTAGACCCTCCTGACCATATGCGCCAACCCTTAGAGGTCGAGATCCCTTTGCCCCCCCTTAAAATATTTGAGGGTGCCACCCCCAAAGCTGGTGGACATTGCCATTCAAATAGGGTGTGTGCACTGTGTTTTGTGATTGATGATGTGGGGCGGAGCTTACCTGCCCCCCCCAATATTTTATTCAAGTTGGCACATCCCTGCTCCTGATGGGCCAACAACTACCTAAATGTGCCACCTTGTGACATTGGGCATGAAGGCAACTGTGATCTTTACTCTCTGAACAAGCCTGGCTCCATTCATTCATACAACAGCAATCTCTCATGTAGATTGCTGTAACAAGCTCTACGTTGGGCTGTCCTTCAGTACAGTTTGGAAGTTTTGATTAATGCAGAATATAGTGGCTCTCAGTCAAAACGGGAGAGAGCACAGCACTCCAACTTGCACAGGTTATTTATTAGTTTCTATCATCATGTTAAGGAGTCTTAGTTTAAAGTCATTGGCAGCTTTGATTCTGCATGCCAACTGGTGCACCTTCTGCCATGGGTGCCATGCGTTTCATGGTATTTGTTAATTATAAAACAAAAATTATTTTTAAAAACCTCAAGCTGAGAGTTGTTGGGGTTTTTTTGCCACTGTTGCTGCTGTTCTGCTGCAATTTTTGATTAGGCTATGTGTTTCTAATTTTAAAAGTGGATGTGGTTTTATTGTTCCATTTCAAACTGGCTCAGAAATTTTACAAATATATGGACCTTCAAAAGCCTTTGAAGGAGGTTGTGCAAAACTATTGAGTGTCGAGAGGTACTGGAAAATCCCAGTAACAAAACACCTGCAACACACAATGCAATGTATACAAGTTCTTGAGAACAATCTGCAACCCTTCTGACCTGATCACAAGGTAGAATTACCAAACCAGTTCTCAGCTATTTATTTGCAATGTACTGTAACCATCTTCATTAGGAAAATGTGCAGGGGCGGGGGATTAGAAATTGTTCAAGCCCAATCCTAAACATTTTCTTCAGTATAATTTTTACTTTTTTGCACTGGAACAAGCCTCAGGCCTTTGATGTGGTTTGTGTCATTCTAAGCAATTATTTATTAGCCTGTTGCATTAAAAAAAAGAAGTGTTCTATACGTTTCACCGAAGGGTTTTGTAATGTACATTTAGACTGGTAGAGTGCATGCCTCTAAGGTATACAAGTACTGTAAAAAGCTATATGACTTACCACACCTGTCTTTCTTACACTGTCTTTCGTCATGACCTGAAAGGACTTGTGTAATGCTCATCTTCTAAGAGCTAGACTAAATCCATTTGTTGTTGTACACTGAAAGCAGCTATGTGCCATCTCGTGATCAGCTCCTCACTCATCCTGTGTTCTCATTGTTAGCTGAGAAAGTGAAGACACTGTGCCCATCTTCTAATCCAATCTGCCATCTGGATATAATTAATATGCAGAACTATGTTTCCAACAGCTATATCAGGCAATCATATGTAAGCAACAAACAAACAGGTATTTTAGAATGAACTGTAAAAATTGTTAGCAATTTAACAGGAATATAAATATACATCTCCTATTCAACATAACTACGTGAATGAATCATTAACTTGAAGAGATTATTAACATCTCCCAGTATTGTCGCATAACGCAGAAAAACAGTTGTTTAGATACTTTCATGATCATGAGGAACAATGGTGGGGAAGAAGAAGGTCTGGACATAAGTTTCTTTTAGCCATCACAAAATCAGGCCAGGCCAGACATATTTGATAAGAAGATTTCATCTACATCTTAGGAAACATTCCTAATAATAAGAGCTATTTGACAGAGGAATAGAAGGCTTAGGAGGTGGTGGGCTCTCATTCACTGGATCTATTTACGCAAAAGCTGGGCAGCCATCTCTTGGGCTATTGCATAATTCAGATTTGGATTTTCCATAGGAAGGGGAAATCTGGATTAAATGTTTTTTAAAAAAGCAGGGGCTGGTATTTTGATCATACAGTAAGTGGGGTGTGGACTAGGTGACCTACATGGTCCCTGCCAACATTTTAATTCCAATATCCTGTTTGCACATAACACTAAGCTAAACCATGGCTTCACACAAATGGGCAAACGTGGATTCATGGAGAGAAGACTACAGCTGCTTTGCTTCTTCTCTGCTCCTGATGCTGCCACCCTGGTGTGATCTAAGCCATGATTTGGCTTAGCGCTACTTCTGAACTCAGGATCATTGCTTATTTCACTCTAGACAAAACACAAGCAGTGGCCAAAGTTTGTTCTATGATTTACCACTCGTGGTTTGTCCAGAGTGAGATAAACCACAAGCTTGACTTCAGATGGAATGCTAAGCCAAAACACGGCTGAGATCAGAGCAGCCATGTGGTGACAGGACCAGGAGAGCAAAGCAGCTGCAAACTTCTCCCTAGGAAGCCAAACATTTTCTTGTTTGTGTTAAGCCCTCATTTGGCTTAGCATTATGTGTGAAATGGGCCCTATGATTCTGTAAGTCATGGCCAGCCCCATGGCTGATCATAATCATTATTAAAGGCATGTTTAGTTTGACCCTTTCCCCCATTTTATTAATTCAGACTTTTCATAATCCATGAAGGACTGGGTGCTAATTGAAGATGTATCATAATTGAATATTGTAGTCACAGAACATTTGTGGGACATGTGGTAATCATCTCCCACTGAGCTCTGTGGAACAACACAGACCAACAGGTCTTTCCCTCTCTCCTCCATTATTGTACACACAACAGTAATAATGCAATCCTGGCTGTGAGATTGAGGAGGTAATCTTTGCTTTAAAGAAGACAAGAGAGTTAACTTGAACTGACAGTGGCATCGCAGCTAAGCAGCCTTGCATGAAAACAAAGATGTTTCCTGCATATGGTTGAATAATTATGTCCCCCTGCTGATTAAAGAAAGTGTTGTCATTTTGAAGTACACCAGCAACATTACGCTTAAGGCAAAACACAGATGAAGGGGCAATTTTCAAAAATGAAATCTATATGCTTTTTGTATGACTAAAACTACCCCTTGCCGGAGAAGGAGATCCAATTGGGTTCTATCCAGCACTGGTCCTACTCAGAGTAGACCTGTTGTAATCCATGGGCATGACAAATTTAGGCCCCTTAATCTCAGCGGGTCCACTCATGAGTAGAACTTAAACACAACTGTCAGACTATAGAGCAAAAGCTGGAGTTTTTTTGCCATTTCTTTTTCAAAAGATTTTATTGAAGCTTTTTATAATACAATAAGATAAAGGAAACTAATTTAAATAAAAAGAGAAACACAGAAAGAAAGAGGGGGAAAAAAATGCAGAGTCCTATCTCAAAGGTAGCTCTATAACCCGTGTCACCCACAGACAAGGTGGTGGGTTTTTTTATCTGTTGGCAGCTGTAGTCCTCTTTGGGACCAGATGCTGCTGGTGGGTGGGGCCAGAATCAAAAGGGGAGGAGCCACCCCTTGCCTCATTCTTCTATCACCTGCATCTTTCTTTCTTTCTTTCTTTCTTTCTTTCTTTCTTTCTTTCTTTCTTTCTTTCTTTCTACCTACCAAGCTGGCAGCTGAGAGAGAGGCAATTACTCTTATTATTTATTAAAGCACTTCTTTTCGTCATATAAAATATCAGGGTGCTATACAACTATGAAACATGCCATTAAAAATAATACCACTGTAAACAGTAGTTAATGTGACTGCCTAATTAAACAGTGGAGTACCCCCCAGTGAGG